AGGAGATGGGTGGACACAGTGACTGCAGCAATGGGCTCAAGCACAGGAACAATTGTGAGGCTGGCGCAAGACCAGGCAGCATGTTGTTCCGGTTTGCACAAGGTGGCTATGGTTGGAACTGACCTAACACCTTTTCTTTAGTATTTCCTCTTAATGGCTTTGAAGAACCCGAACTCCTGCAGCACTGGACCATGGGTGCGATACAGGCAAGTGAGACAGAGGACATGGCTCTGGGCACAGGCTCTGGTGCTCTGACCAGTGTGCGTGCTGCTTGGTGAGCTCTGCCTCTGTCCACTCCTCCACTCTGCTGGCCCTGCCGCTGCCTTTCTGCTCCTCGGTCCTCTGCTCGCTGCAGCAATGGCAGCAACAGCAAACAGGACAACCGGAAGTGGGCTCCTATGACATTTTAATATGGTGTTCACACAATGCCATATCATGTAATATTGTATTTCACAGAACACATGGATTTTAAGTGAAACATACATGTATAATTCCCAGTTATGCCAAGTCGATATGATTCATATGGGCCCTTTAGTATGGAGTAGAACTTCCTCATACGGTTTCCAAGACTGTCAATCTTTAAGGAAGCAGACGGCCACATTTTTCTCCCAGCAGAGTGGTGGATTTGAACTACCCACTTTATGCTTATCCATCCAGCACATGATAGCATCGGGGATCCTTAATGTAATAATACTACATTCTACATTCAGTTATATTATTGGCTTCTGTCATGGATTCCATTTTGTCCCCACTAAATCTGTGTTAAGGAGTCCTGGTTGTGCGTTGGGCAAGGTTAGTGGTTTAAGTCCACCAGCCATTCAGCAAGACAAAGATGACACCACCTGTTCCCCTAACGCAGCGGTTCTCAACCTGTGGGTCGCAACCCCTTTGGGGGGGGGTGTCAAACGACCCTTTCACAGGGGTCCCTAGAACCATCAGAAAATACATATTTCCGATGGTCTTAGGAACGGAGACACCGCTCCTCTATCATCTCCAGGTGGGTCCGCTCACAAGCAGATATGCCCACATATGAGTACCAGGCGTAAAGACTGTTACCCATGCTACACCATTCTTCAAGACAAAATTTCATTTAATTGTCATTAGAAAGAAATATTTCACAATGTATAATTACATATTGTTTTTGTGATTAATTACTATGCTTTAATTAGGTTCAATTTGTAACAATGAAAATACATCCTGCATATCAGATATTTACATGACGATTCATAACAGTAGCAAAATGACAGTTATGAAGTAGCAATGAAAATAATTGTATGGTTGTGGGGGGGGGCGGGGATCACCACAACATGAGGAACTGTATTAAAGGGTCACGGCATTAGGAAGGTGGAGAGCCACTGCCCTAAAGGAAATCCGAAGGACTTGGTTGTAGAGGAATAAAATATATGTCAATGTAGCTAGCCGATTACCCTACAGCTGGAATCTTGTGCCTTCATAGTTTTGTTTCCCAAACTCACAGAACATTGACAGGAACAAAATTTGTATCCCTCAAGGATGCTAAAATTTCCATTTGACATTGTGTAAATGGAAGAGTGCAGAATTCTTCAGGGGAGGGTTTAGGGAAATAGAACACCCCCTTCAGAAGGATATAGATCTAGATGGGAGATATATAAAAAATAATAGCTTCACAATTTGATATTTTTGTTTAATAAAGCATACTATAAATTTGTAGTAATACTTTTTTATTTTCTCACATTTAACCAGTCTTATTTTTGTTTCTTTTATTATATTTGGTATGTATTATATTTGGTATATATGCCTTGCAATAGGACCCTTATGTTTGTCCTAATTTTCTCATTGATGATCTTGATAGCTCTGGGGTTACCGTATATATTTGAGTATAAGCCAACAGCTGCGGCACAGAATTTTACCACAAAAACTGCATTAAAAATGTGCTGAAAAATGTCTTATACACAAGTCTATATGGTCCATTTAGCTCTCTAATTCACATTGTGTTTGCTTTAGTGCATAAGGGGAGGGATGGGTCCTATTTCATTGTTCTGCAGATGGAGACTCAGTTTTTTACAGCACCATTTGTTGAACAGGTTGTCCCTCTCCCATGTAATGTTTTTTAGTTCTTTGTAAAAAATCAGTTGCCTGTAGGCAAGACATTTTTATTTCTGAGTTTTCTATGGTGTTCCACTGGTCTATGAATCTATTATTATACCAGTACCAGGCTGTGGTATGCCTGTGCAGTAGGTTTAGAATTTTGGTAGTGCAAGGCCTCCTATTTTCTTTTTCTTTTTGAGACATTCTTTGATTATCCTGGGCCTCTTTCCTTTCTATATGAAGTTGGTAATTAGTTTTTTCTAATTTTCCATTTCTTTAAAGAATGAAGCTGTGATTCAGATTGAAATTGTGTTGTATTTGTAGATTGCTTTAGGTAGTTTTGACATTTTCACAATATTAACTCTTTCTATCCATGAACATGGAGTATTCCTTTATTTCTTGAAAGATAAGCTATTTCTACTTTTTGCTGCTATTTATATTTAAAAAATTTAGATATCATATAAATCATCACAGCTATTTGACTACTTTTTGTTTTCATTTTTTTACTTAAAAAAATAATTTTATTGGGGACTCTTACAACTCATTATAATCCACACATCAATTATATCAGGCCCTTTTGTTTTTTGGGGGGATATTTTTAAAAATTATAATTAGGTCTGTAATACATGTCCTTTTATATTTTAACACTGAAGTGTTGTAGTGAAAATCCTATGGAGAACATTTTTTTTATTAGTCATTTTATTGAGGGTTCATACAACTCTTATCACAATCCATATATCCATACATTGTGTCAAGCATATTCCCTGTGTTTCCGGTTCCTATCTGTACCAGTGTACATCCTCTGGTCTAGCCAGATTTTAAGGTAGAACTGGGATCATGATGGGGTGGGTGGTGGAGGAAGCATTCAGGAACTAGAGGAAAGTTGTATGTTTCATCATCGCTATACTGCACCCTGACTGGCTCATCTCTTCCCCATCACCCTTCTGTAAGGGGATGTCCAGTTGCCTACATATGGGTCTTGTGTCCCCAACCTGCACTACCCCTCATTCACAATGATTTGATTTTTTTTTTTGTTCTTTGATGCCTGATACCTAATCCTTTCAACACCTCGTGATCACACAGGCTGGTGTGCTTCTTCCATGTGGGCCTATATGGCTGCTTGTTTACCTTCAAGCCTTGTGCATATGTTGCCATCATTCCTTTCTAGACATTCACTTTCTATTGAGCCCTTGGTATCAGCTCCTCTTTTTTCCCCTCCTTCCCCCCCTTCACCCTGGTGACCCCTCAATAGATTATAAATTATTATCGTTTCTGTTGTTCTTCCCCCTGGAGGAATGTGTGTGGTTATGTGTCCATCATTGTGATTGGTTCCCCCTTCCTTTCCTCCTTCCCCCTATCCTTCTGGTATCATTATTCCCATTCCTGTTCCCGGATTCCTTGTGTCATGAGCCCTTATCTCTTATGTATACCTGTGTACATGCTCTGGTCTAGTCCGAATTCAGAAGCAGCACTGGGGTCATAGTAGTGGGGGGTGAGGAAGCCTCAGGAACTGGAGGAATATTGTGTATTTTGTCAGTGCTTTACTGTGCCCTGGGTGACTCATCCCTTCTCTGTATCCCCTCTGTGGGGGGGATGTTCAATTGTCTATAGATGGGCTTTGGGTCTCTGCTCCAACCCCTCTCGTTCTCAGCAATATGTTTTTGTTTGTTTGTTATGGGTCTTCTGATGCCTGTTACCTGGTCCTGATGACACCTCATGATCGCACTAGCTGGTGTGCTTCTTCCCACGTGGGCTTGTTACTTCTCTGCTGGATGGCCAGTTGCTTAATTTCAAGCCTTTAAGACCCCAAACATTATGTCTTTTAATATCCGGTCACCACCTGCTTTGTTCACCACATTTACTTAAGCTCCCATTTTCTTAAAGAGGTCTTAAATCTGTACTTTATTTAGCATTTCACATAATTCAAGATAACAAAATTTATTTTACACTGTACACCAAGGGCTACTGCAGATTTACAATAGGATTTAACGTTGGTTTTGTGGTATTTCTCATGTAGACCTTAGTCTTTGCCACGACGCTCGCTGCTAAGTAGTACTAGGAAACACTGCTCAGCTGTGGCTCAGTGCTCAACCATAATGCCCAGATTGACAAGAAATAGATGCTTTATTGGGCAAGATAGCTGTAGGAATTAAACTCTCTAGGATTCTGTCATAAATTATGTACTACAAATAAGATGTAGGATTTTTTCCCCCTTTTACACTCTGAAGAGTTTTTTCTTAACCCTTATTGAAATACTCTTAGAATTTTTCAGTCTATGAACAAACAGTTCATGTAGAAAAACTGAAGATAATTTACCATGTCCTTATACCACTTTGCCTATGATAATCTAAAAATATTAACAAAAGAAAGTCTGAGTTTTCACATTTGCTATTAAGTACTATAATGTATCTTTTTAAAAAAATCATTTTATTAGGGGCTCATACAACTCTTATCACAATCCATACATACATCAATTGTGTAAAACGCATTTGTACATTCATTGCCCTC